GTATTTTGAGGTTAAGTTCAAGGATTGGTTGCTTCTTTGTCTTTTGGCTTGAGGCTGGGTTTCTCTGATTCTTTGGGAGTTGTTTGACGTGCTAATTTCTATAAAGCTAGGGTTGTTTTGGTTTCGTTGGATGTGGTTAACTGGGCTGGATGGCGCATAGCCTCCTAGGAGGTAGTCTTGGCCATTGGCGCTAGGTGTTTGGGGGATTGGAGTTCCCAGGGTGATAATTGGGTAAATTGGGCTGATGGGGAGCGTGGGCTCGTTGAAGAGTTGCATGGGTTCGTAGGCTGTTCCTTCTATGACTTCTTGTTGCCATTCCGGGTTTGACTGTGTTTGGGTCGCCATAGTAGCGGCGTTGTGTGAAAGTCTGCTACATGTAGTACAAATTTCAAATATCTAATGTCTGTATTACGCTGGTGATCACTTACTTGTATATTAATTACACAACCTCACATTATCTATGCTCAATGGAGAAAAGTAGCTATATAACCCCCCACCATTCATTCCCGTTCCATCAAAACCCTCATTTGCTCAAAGGGACTCGCTTCACTTTCATGATCAGACGTACCTTCCTTGCAAACCATTCACGCCTATCACACAACACTCTCAACAAAACCACCTACCTCTCTTCACAATCTCCAATCCCAGTCCTCCAAATCACCACCTCCAACCCCCATCCACACCCCCCAATTCCGCACTCCGTCAAAACCCGCCCTCAAAAAAAACACCACAATGCCCCTCAAAATCCACCCCTGCACCACCGCCGACATGCCCCGCGTCTTCGAAATCCTAAGCCTCGCCTTCGGACGTCGCCACATCTACATCGACACCGTCTACCCCTTGCACTGTACACCCCAAGGTCGAGCAGCGGGCGCATCCCGCCTACTAGCCACCCAGCAATAGGACCCCTGCGCGCGGTTCATCAAAGCCGTGGATGAGGAGACGGGCACGATAGTTGCACAGGCGAAGTGGATTGTGTATCGGGATACTATACCACCGGAGGGGGAACTAGAAGGGGAGTTTTGGGAGAGTGAGGAGGAGAGGGAGTTTGCGAGGTTGCTTTGTAGGGAGTATTTGATTCCGAGACGGAAGGCGATTAGGGAGATTTGAATTCATGGCTGCAAAGCTGGTAGTGGTAAAGGAAGATGAAATGATAATTGACCGTATCTTGGCTTTTAACCTCGCCATTTAGTATCGTGCTAGCATATACGCGGATTCTGCGAATGAGACGTCTGCTTCACATATCAGACGTCTACCAAGTATTTACATACTAAACGTACTATTTCCCCAGCGTATCAAGCAAATCCAACCAAAACTGATCTATATCCCAGTCACCATCCAACCCCCTCACACCTCTACATTCCGACCATCACAACACCTCTCCCCTCTCCAATTTAAAAAATATCACTACCACCTCTTACAATCCATCCCCTTCTTCAACCAGATAACCTCGCTTAAAAGATAATTCCCAACAATTTCACAAAACCATCAATGTCCCAGGAATATTTACTAAACTACTACTCACTCACTTCCTACACGACAACTACTATCATTCAGGATATAGTATACAAACCCGTAATATACATGAGCATCCTTTAGAAATCCCAGCCCTTTCCCTTTTTCTGTTTTTCTGGTGAAATGAGTAAGCTATACTATACCACTTCCGCCTCTGATACCACTTGAACCACTTACCTACCTACCATATAAAATAATAATACCATATACAGTACCTCCACCTCCACATTCATTATTACCCCTTATTCCCCATCCCCCAAGCCCATCCATCCATCCATCTATCCTACTACTTATCCAAACCCAAAAATACCCTTCTACCCACTCAATACCAACACCACATCCCATCCTACCCAACCATCCCTCTTCCTCCCTCTCTTCCCCCTTCCCCCTTCCTCCCTCCCCCCCC